TGTCACAAAAACACAAAAAACACTGCAATTCCCTGGAGAAGGGAATTCACATCRTTTGGATGAAYWAAGAATTTGAGATCTTGCCCATCCAGGAAGCTGCTGAAGAATTTTGTTTCAAGAACATGAATAAGGCCCAGCGTGTTTGGGCCTGCTGGAGGCACCAGAATGATTTCTTAAGGCTTTTATTATACTTGTCCTTCCCTCTAGATCAACTTTAGAATGTTGGAAAAATCCTAAAACATACAGAAAAAAAAATTCTACCAAATATCCAGTTAAGCAAAGGAGAAAACTACCATGCTTATTTGGCATTAAAGGCATAAATGCCAAACATGTAATCAGCATGTAGCATATATATATTCAGTCCAACCAGTGCAAATTTTTGTTTTGGCTAGAAATGYTCTTTCTCATTTTAACATATCTCACAGAAATGTAAACATTGGCTGAAATAATAGCTTTTAAAAGTTATCTGACTGTTGACACTTGTGCTGGTGCTTCCTCCAAGCTTCTCTTACCACACAGCCACAGGAAGCACATTCATGTGTTTGTCAGCTGCCATTTCTGCACTGTTATTTCAAATTTAGGTTATGAGCAATGCCAGCTGATGAATTCCAGTGGGGAAATWTCCTTAAAATCTGACATCTCTGTGCTAAAGAGCCTTGGCGTGTCTGGGGCAGGGTTTTATTCCTCTGAACCTGCGCTCAGGTCTCTGCGCACGCTTTAATTTGAAGGGTTACAKTGAACCCTCTGTTCTCCTGACTTATGAACTTGTGCAGACATCAAAGCAGGTAACAGGTTTAATTAGACACTTAATTACAGATCAGGAYGGTAAGGTATGCATTTGGGAAATAMAAACATGATTTTCAACCTGGGTYGAATGCCAGTGAAGAGAGTAACACTGGCACAGCATTGGTGTCCTGTGCCCTTCCCATCACTCATCAAAAACAAGGTTTGGGTTGGAGGTTTGGTTTTGGTGTTTGTTTTTTTTAATTGATTTTTTTTAGCCAAAATAGATACTAAATATTTTTAGCTTTCAGGTCTGGCACATGTAGTTCTCTGGACAACCTTTGCCAGGGCCACACCTCTCTCACAGGGGAGRATTTCTTCCTCATACCCAATCTGATCCCAGTTGCCACTCCCCTCTTCTGATTTATCCTGTCATTCCACAGGAAAGGCAGAACTGAAGTTGTTTGGAACTCTCCTCTCCTGTCTGTGCTATCTTCCTTTCATAAAGTAAATTTAATTATGTGTTTTCTCTATTGCTGTTTGTAACTTCCCTGCCTGTTTTTATTTCTTGCCCCAGATTACTTTCATATGCAGATTCATTAACATGGTTTACGCCCTCTACTAGAATAATTAAATTATTATTAAGTAAGGCAGGCCTTTGTTATATAAGGTCCMAAGTCAGTTTTCAAAATAATGGCTGGGAATCATCCAACTGCAATTATGCTCTACCTACCTAAATTCTCTTTGTAGTTTTAATTAAAATGYATTATCCAGGATGATTTCACCTCCTATTTTAAGTTCTTGCATAGTACTGGTTTAAGGAAAAAAAAATTATCATCTCTGTAAGGCAATTTCTCTATTGTGTGATCTTCAGTAGGCAGAATAAAAACTTTTGGGTTATCCTAGCACGCAATGGGAGATTTCAGTAATGTCCAAAATTATCTTTTAAATAAGGTATGTTGTGTTAGAGGGGAAAATTGGGAAATTTGGAGTATTTTATCACTGAGAAGTGCTCTTCCTACAGGTGAAAAATGTTAAGGGAAYGCAAGTCAGAGACAGATGAATGCCCTTGAACAATGACAAATAAAATAGAAACACGGGATGAACACATAAGATTTGCCACAATAACTCAGCAGCTGAGCAATGCCATAGGAAATAAGAATCTGAGAAGCAGAGAACATCTCCAGAATGATTAGGCATATTTTTTTAATAAATGAGGCTGACAAACCAGCTAAAGGAAAAAAAAAAAAAAAAAAAAAAAAAAAAAAAAAAAAAAAAAAAAGCATTTGTAATGCAGTGTATTTTTGGCAGACTTTCAACACTGGGGAGTTTTCATGGGAATAAAATTTCTTTCTTTTTAAATTTAAGGTTCTTTTCAATCTCAGAAGATTTCCAAGCAAGTCCAGATAATTACACCTGAGCATCAAAAGCAGGGGGACTGTTTAACCTGCTTTATTAGTTTTTAACAAGTGATTTTGCTCTTTTTTTTTTTTATTTTTAGGTATTTGGTGAAATCAGCATCCAGTCCTTGAAAGAATTCTAATAAAACAGACCTGATGCTTCCAGTTGTTCAGTGACCTTACAAACCTGTGCTCAGGTAAYCACCCTGCTCCAGAGCTCAGTCCTGGTGTTCCCTGCAGCTCCAAGACCCAATCCAAAAGGGAAGCCCTTGTATTAATAAATTCCTTCCTCAAATTCCAGTGCACAGCGATGTCCCGTGGGATATTGTSTTATTGAGGAATTCTGTGGAATCAAAATGAGTTATAGAAGGTATTTTCACATAAAAACACCCAACTTCTTTTCCTCTGAGAGTTGTTTTGCTCCCAGAAGAATGCAGAGATATTCCCAGGAATTTCTGAATAAAATATCAAAGACATTCAGATGGAATTACCCCAGTAAAACTCACTTCAGCCTGAGCAGCTGGTTCAGTTTTAGTCAATAAGAAAGAAACAGCAATTTTCACATTAATTTCAAAATTTGGGTCTCCATAGTGCAGCCAGGAATCCTTCAGAAGCACAACCTGGTGCATAATACTGATCCAGTGAACYCCAAGGTTCTGTTAATGTATTTTGAAACTAATTAATTTTCCCACATTTTTCATTTTTTCAAATTTATTTGTCAAATTCTCAATTTTTTGGTTTGTTCTTCAAATGGATTCTTCAGACTTTCCAAATTTTTKAAATCATAGCCTGATACACAGCTGTGATCTGTGCAACTCCAAAGTTCCATTAATATAATTTATAYCAATTTATTTTAATTACATCCCAAGACATTTTCCCAATCTGAAAGTTAAATCCCACTTGAACACTTTTCATGAGATGGTTTTACCCACAGAACTACCCAAACCACTGCAGAGGTTTTTTTCCATCAATCATCAAAAAATGAAGCTGCTTACAAACATTTGCACAAAAACTGGAGTTTGAATACTGATGTCAGAGACCTGAAATGAAAGTTTGAATGTTTTTTCAAGGAAATATTTAAATAAAACAGACAATCACCCTTGTTTCTAGGATCAATAATTTATTTCTTTTTTTACATTTTGCAATTTGTTACAGGAGAAGAAACACTTGCTAATGGAAGTGACATGTTTTTGAACCATTTTCCAAGGTAATGGAAAAAGTTAAGCATATTCCCTAGGATGCACATTGRTGACTAAGCTGCCAATATTAAATCAATTGAAGCAAGTGCAGTCCCTATTTAATCTTTGTATAAATTATTTCAAGGACTCTCCTTCTCCTACAGGAAGACTAAATTGTAGCATCTAATTTTCCTTTTTTTTTATCCTGAAGTCTCAATCTTTTCTCTCTCTACTTAATCTGCAAAAAGTCAAACAGGCTGAAGCCAAAGCCACAGAACRGAGTCCGTGCCAAGGTTCCTTCTATTCCTGGTGATCTCCTCAGTTCCCTCCTGTCCCAAAAAGGAAACAAAAGACTCCCAGTTTTCTGAAAACCAGATTCTCTTCATGACAGTGCATTGCATTGCCACAGGATGGGCCACAGTGGATGTTCTCCTAGCAAACAAATCACTACCAAGGTAGAAAGAATTAGAAATTAACTCGGTAAAAATGCTTCTAACATTTTCCCAGTGGTGTAGTAACCAGAATCCTACTGTCCTTCCACAAAAAATAGATATATTTTTTTATAAATACATTTTAATACAGACAATTATCTTCTATGCAAAAAAAAAAAAAGTCACATTCAAACAGTTTTGCTGGGTGTATTAAGATACAAGCAGACACCAGAGCAGGCAGAAGCACAGGGGGGKTTTGGGGGGGCTGCAGACATACAAACACCATTTCAACCACTGACCAGTGATGGGGAAAACAGCTGAGCTGCAAGGTGAGACCTGGAGCACCACACTCCTCAAATAGTCCAGGTAYTTCCATGTAGAGAAAATGATATGAACTCTCAATGGTATTTAAGATTAATATCTAAAAGCCTCTATAAATTTTGGCAGTGCTTGTGCTGGGGGTAAAAAGAACCACGAGAAGGAGCTCCCAGCTGCCTCAGGAGAAAACTGAGTCACTCACCATCTTCAAGCTCTTGAGTCCAGCTAGCTGAAATTAATTTTTTCCCTGTCCTTGTCCTCCCTTCCCTCACTTTTCCCCCCACAAATGCACACAAACCTGCCCAGCTTTTGTGCCATACACAGAGYTCCAGCTGCTCCCCCGCAGCCCCAAACGACAGCAAGGAGTTCTATGGTTTCCTTCCTAACCAGATCTAATTAAAACTGAGCTGTTAACCATCTTATTAATAATTAATAGGGCATTTTTATAATACTTATTAAATATGACAGTTGGATATTAGCATTTTCTTACCTTAAATAGCCCCAATCTTTGCATGAATAAGAGATCCCTTTAACTTTCGTCATGAAGATTGGGGTTTCTTTTTTATGGGTCGAAATGTAGGACTRCTTCTCAATATACTTTAACAGCCTTTTCTCAAACTGAAGGGATTTGGAAGTTGGCAGCCTGCACATTTCACACACAGCCAGCCACCACTGTGACACCCTACACAAGATTTTGGAAWGAAACTCAGAGGACAAAGGTGGAAAATAGACCTGCTCAAAAAATAAGACCTAGAGAGAGATTATGAGCAAGAACTAAATCTTAACAGGTTGTTTCCAACCCTGGAGAAACTTTCTACATTTAAATAAATAAATACCAAAAAAATCTGAGTCAGGAAGGGTGGACCATTCAGTTATTTCATAGATGTCACCACATAACGGGTAATTCACARAAACAATTCTGGCTTTTGCCACTGATCTGAGAGCAAAGTTTCTAGATTTTAAACCACAGCTAATGTGTTAATTCTAAAAAGAAATGGTTCTCTTCCTGCCACGGAAGTGTGAGCCATTAAAGCATGCAGCTCACCCCCAATGTATGGCTGCTTTTCTTAAAAACCCTGACTACTAAAGRAATCCAAGACTGACAAAGTGAAAAAATGTGTCAAATTATCATTTCCCCTGGAAGAACGTGTTGAGCTGTAATTTCCCTGTCTCTCAGAAAAATTATGTCACTATTAGCACTCACAGAGACTTAGTTTCTTTTTCCAAGATTAAGTCACTGTGTAAAGCACACACTTAATCCTGTTTTATGACAGGAAACAGCCGGGCATTATTAGCAGATAATCTTGGTTAGCTCTTGGATGTTTTCTTTCACTTTCAGAAAGTCAGCTCCCAAATTGCCAGGCTGGCTTGTTAAAACAGAGCAGCAGTGCTAATTAAAGTCATGTTTTAAATGAGATCAAGGAAGAAAACACAAGAATTCTTTTTTTTCCACAGCCAATATTTGGTGATTTCGCAACGGACWTCCAAAGTAAACCAAACAATGATTAAAGTTAAAATACAAAATAACAGCTAGTAAAGAAGATTAACAAATTCTGTGAACAATGCTGCTAAGACTTGGTTCTCAACTGGTTTCTAATAAGAATCAGCTGCCAATTTAAGGGGAAAAAATGTGGGTTTCACAACTGAGTCGCAAACTCTCAGCTCCCATTCAGAAGGRAGTTGAATTTATTGGCTGCTGCACAAAGCGTGGTCTTTAACACCAGATTTTGAAGGTGGTTTTTAATGCAAAACAAGRGTAGAAGTGGCATTAGAACAGCAAYTCTACAGCCAMAGTTTYTGAAGAAAAATATTTTAGTGCTGTTTATGTGTCTCATGTCAACACCACAGGTTTTTGAAGAAAAATTCTTTTAGTGCTGTTTGTGTGTCTCTGTCAACACCCCACGTGATTCTGCTGTACAAGCAGGTGGGAAAGGAACAGAACCTCTCCCCTGGACAGTGATTCTCACGTGTTTGTARAGATTGTGGATGTGGGTGACCTTAAAGAAACACCAACAATGATTTTCCAAGTGAAACAGAGAGATAACAGCAAAAACTGCTCTGGTGGGAAGGAAAAAAAGCATCTTCATTGTACTTCCCACAGTTGTTTGTCTTGGTTTAGGAATCAGAATTTTTTGTTCTGGGGATTTTAAATAAGAGCAAAATGGTCCCAACTGAAAAGAGGTTGAAATTGATTTAATTGAAAATGTCTGATCTTTGTTTCTGGCTTAAAATATTCTAATAATATTGGAAAAAAAACCTCACTCAGTAAAATATCTCCTATATGATTCACACTAAATTTTCAGTGAGCCTGGAATTATTACAGTTATAATCTGAATTATGAAAGATTTCAGGAGAGGAGCAGCTGATAACTCATCCTCTGGTGTTTAACCTCAAACCTACCCTAAACAGTGCCAGAAAGTCCATCCACACTCTGAACTCCTGGGAACAGAGTGACTTTCACTTGGTTCTTTTATAAGGGGCATGTCTATCACTCAAATTCCCATTTATTGCAGTAAAATTTTTATGGAATTACTCTTTTTCTTATAAGTCTTGAAAGGAGGTAGCATTAAAAAGAACATGACTATTTCAGAGGAAACTCCATTCAATGACCCAAGAGTCCCTACCAAAGTACAACTGATCTCACCAAAACATATTAAATAGATGACTGGGAATTCTGAGCAAATTCCATTTCTAAAACTCCTTTAAAAATCCTRTGCACAGAAGTGAATATTAAGAACAGCAGGTGAAAAATACCCCCAAAAAAACCCTGTAGAGGGTGGTAATAATAAACACACACTCTCTTTTTGTCTTTAAATCAACACATTTTCTTCTTGAAGTGTTAGAACAAAACTCAGAATATTTAAAACTCGCAAAATGTATTTGGATATATGATTTAACAGCCCTGCTGCAAAAAAAGAAAAAAAAAAGTTGGGGGAGGAATGAAAGCATTTTCAAAACTATTTTCATCTTTAGTAATTACTGTGCTATAAAATTAATGGTCAGCAGCTCAAAGCACTGCACAAATAATGAGGAAATCTTTCGTATCTCTCAAACTGATCAGTCAGCCGTAGGCTACTTGTATGATTTAACACACTAGAGTCAAAAAACAGTGATAAATACAAGTCTCACTGCGATAAGAATTACTACAAGCTACTACTTGAGTGAAATCAGTGAAGTTGACACACTTCTGTAGCTACCAAGCTTAACAAAACCTGTGCTGTAACCTAAAATCGCTGTGTTTTTTGTTTTAAAAACTGCCTCCTCTCTCAGCAGTCAGGAAAGCCAAGCCAAATACAAATGGTGACACACTGAAAAGTGAGCACAGCCCCAACAAGAGCACAAAAACCTCCCTGTCCTTAGGCTACACTTGGAATTGTTTGTAATCCTGTTCTGACGTAGGCTGCGACTACAAAGATGCTCATCACGACTGGAAATGGTATTTTTATAAAAATTATTACAATTATTAACACCTATCCGAGGCTAACATAGAATGTTCCACTTCAACTCACAGAATTAGACATGGAGACATCAAGTATTCATAGAAATATCTACAAACTGCAACTGTCTTTTGTTTTTGTATTTTTTTTTTAAGTATCAGTGAACTGACCTTCAGAGTAAGGGTTTCATGACAACAGGTCAACCCACACTAGTTTATTCTTGCTGTTGCTATTTCTTGGGCTAAATTTGGTGTTAAACTTCTTCCAGAGTCTGAAGAGAGAACTTCTGCTAAATTTTTTGCTGTGTGTTAAAGCTGTACATTATTAGATTTAGTTTCACCTGTATTAATATCCGACAAGAAACAGTTTTAACAAAGGGAAACAGTTTTAACRTTCTTTAAATGCAGATACAAATAGAAAATTGGAAATTCCACACTCTCCAGCTGCCCTAGACAATTAAAATATTGCTCTAACAAGCAGTGCTGAAGCCCTTATCTTGGTATCGAGCAGAGATGAATGAAAATAGACATGGGAAATGTGTGGCATGAAAAGGCTGAATGTTAAATAAAGCAAGGATGTTAAATAAAGCAAAAATGTTAAATAAAGCTGAAATCCTTCTGGTTTTCCTGATTATTCTGAAAAAAAAAAACCTGAAATTAATGGAATGTCCTTATGGAAGTTCATAGACCCACAATGCCATTTTACCTTCATCTGAAATGTAAAAGGAATGTAAATGTAAAAGCACCCAATGAACACAGCTCTGTCACTGAACTACTGCTCTTCACTGCAAGTTTTGGTRTTTCCAAGGTTAAACAGGACATTACAGAGAAGGACCGAACCTAAAGGATGAAATACTCATGGAGAGAACAATCTAAAGATAAAACTCGCCTTTGTGAGATGTTTTGCTCGATATTTTCGACCGGCTGGACAAGTTAAATTGGCCTTTGAAGCATTCACAAAGAGGAACAACCACCCAAACCTCTGCCTTTGCATCCATCCACTCCCATGGTTTCTCTGATTACATTCTTTGGGAAAGCAATCCTAAAAGATACTCGAGGGCAAGAACATAAACTCACAGAATTAGGGCAAAACCCCTCAGGTCCCACAAGGCCATTTTCAAAGCAGACACTTTAAAGAACTTAGGGAAGCAGCATCCAAAGATCATTTTAGCTTTAAAAGTTCTGAAGAACTGGGTCTGCTTCAAAGSTCAAAAGAGATGTCATGAAACTCCTACTGTGGCAAAGAGTCCTTGGTTGGTGGATCCTTGTCGAGGTGACGTTGCAGGCAGCGGAGCTGGAGGTGTTGGGATCCCTGACRACTTCCATAGGAAAGGGGAGGCCAGGTCCAGCCTGCGCTCAAGGTCCTCCACTGTATGAATAATCTGCCTTGTTGTGCATCACCAGCTTGTTGTCTACAAAGTAGAAACTGTCCGACTGTGTCTCATAGGGATGCAGGATCATCTCTCGAACTGTGAGGGGAAAAATTTAAAAAAAAAACCAACAAAATTAATGGCATCGCTCCGCGCTGGGCTCGGGCGCCTTTCAGCGACACTCAGGCAGCTGCAAACTCAGGTGGAAAACCAAAACCCAAATGGRAAATGGCCCAAACCAGGCTCTGTCAGTATCTTTTAAACAATTCAAGCATAATCATGGAAACTTTTATATTGAAAAGCCCTCCAAGGTCATAAAATCCAATCACGTTAATACACAGCACCACCATATTCACTAACCCTTGCGCCACATCCACACCTTTTCCAAACACTTTGTTGGATGAAAAATGTTCATAACCCAAATATATGAAGGCACCATATAAAGGGCACCTCAGAACAAAAACTCATTACATTCTGGGTTGGGTTTTTTAAATTTTGTTTGTTAAAATAGTGCTAAAACAGCAAACTCAAACTATATTTTTTCTGGCCTGACAGCAGTGCCTCACTGTATTTTCCACAGACTGTAATATTAGTGCTGACACACACAATTAGGGGTTGTAAAGAGTAAGATCACAAAGATTTAGTGCTTGTGCTATTGTGTCTTGGGAGAGAAGAGAGAAAATAAAAGTTATGTTCATACTAAAACCTCTCGAGCTCGCAATATAGCACATCAAACATTAAAACAGATCGTAACATTTAAGTTATCCATTTAGTGGATGTCTTTTTAATCTTATTTTTTGGTTGCTTTATAACACAATTATCTTTTTTTCTCCCTAGTGCTGAAGCTTCCCTTTTATGAATTAAAAAAAAAACCCAAGCAACTGCCTGGTGGATGATGAGATACATCCTGCTGGAAAACAAAATCAGTGTTAACAGAGATATAAAAGCATGAATTATTCTACCCAACCCACTCTCTAGAGACAGCTTTTAAGAACAGGCTCCCCCAAAGCACCTCAGATGAACACCATGGTGTGACAACCCAGAAATGAAAGTTTATAATAAAGAGCTTACTGAGATCCTCYGAGAGCTGGGGGAATTCATAGATGTGCTCACAAGTATTTTTACTGCTGGGGATGCAGAAGCCAAATTCAAAATCGAAACTTTTCAGCAGCTGGTCACGGAAGTAGTGCCTCTCAATCATACGGAAATTATTAATGGGTTTGTCCCCTACTGTGAATTCCACCCTGAAAAAGAAGGGTAAGGCTGACGTGAGCTTTCATGCTTCAATGAGATTTGCACCCTTCCTGAAAGGCAGAAAAGAGCTCTGAAATAAAATTTAAAAAGCCAAGAATACAAAGCAACAGCAYTAATCAAATTATGRTTTCCTCTTTTCCCTAAAGCATTCTACAGGGACACAACACAGCATTAAATAAACATCTCAAAGCTCATCCAGTGCCACCCTCTGCCATGGGCAGGGACATTTTCCCCTATCCCAGGCTGCTCCAAGCCCTGTCCAACCTGGCCTTGGACACTTCCAGAGAGCAGGGACAGCCACAGCTTCTCTGGGCAATCTCTGCCAAGACCTCCCCACTCTCACAGGGAGGAATTCCTTCCCCATATCCCATCTGTTGCTGCCCTCTAGTACTGTGAAGCCATTTCCCCTTGTCCTGTCACTCCAGGACCTTCCCTCTCCAGCTCTCTTGGGATTTTTTATGAACTGGAAGGTGCCTCAAGGTCTCCTCCAACGTCTCTTCTCTTCTCTGGATAGTCTTCCCACCTTATTTTGCCTCTTTTAGCATCAATCTCTTCAATACCAGGCCCATCCCTGATTCAAAAACCTAAAGTGACAGAGAAGGCCTCATAATAAAAGAGAAAGCCCCCTATTAAATCAGCTTCCTGGCAGGATCCTGGAATAGATGGGTTTTTTTCCCAAGATTTTAGTTGTTCCCAACAAGGAGCAGACAGGGAGTGACTCACGTGGCTCCCACTTGCCGCAGTCGGAGAAAGGCTGGGGTGAACTGATAGCGCACGAAGCGTCCGGCGTTGGGGTCCACGTCCTTCCTGTCATTGTGCTCCCGCTCTGCAAAAGCCCAAGAAAAACTCTGTCAGGGCTGCCTGAGAGCCAGAAACTCAGGGAAAATACTTGTGATGGTGGTGTTGAGCAACGTAAGCCAGGAAACCTCTGGTGCTGAGCTGACCCTCCCCCTGTCCTGAGGTGTCCATCACTGGTCACTCAGAGATGGAATGCTGTAAGATGGCCCTCAGACTGGAGTCATTTCCTATCTTCTGGATTTCTATTCCTTATCTCCTGCTCCTGCCTCACATCAGGACTGCAGAGTGACTCTGAACAAGCCCTGTCCCCTTGGCRTGCCTGCTTTGCTACCTGTGAGCTACAGAAAACTTATTGTCACCTGCAGGGAGCTGGGGAAGGGTTTTTAAAAGTGTCTGACCAGGAAAAGAACAGTTGCCCTGGGTTTTTATCACCACTGGCAACAGGCAGCACTTGGATGCTTAGAAGCAACACCCAGAAATGGATTAAACCCACAAAAAGGCAAATGTTCTGTTTGTTTAATTTGCCCACTGACAGTTAATCCCTTCTGGAAATACCATTTTCCTGACTCCTCAGCGAGAGATGTTAAACAAACAGCTCCGCTATGTACAGGGGGCACGAGCTGATCAACAGCCAAGGAACAACCACCCGGTGATCTCCTCCTCCTCCCCTGCTCCTGTTTACAGCATCCATCTGTCCYTTCCCATCACAGATGGCAACAGTAAGAGCACAGCAGCAGCCAGCTCTGCTCACCCTGTCGGTACAAAGAGACACCTGAAAAACATTCCTGCTGCAAGATGGGGCTCCAGCCCTCCTGCAGTGGAGAAATCGTCCTATTTTGGGGAAATGTACGGAGTAAAAGGAGTGGGGAAAGGCAAAAGGAAGCAGAYACCTTTTGCATTTGTTCATGGAAACTTTATTTTGTGTGTGCGCTCACCTGAAGCTGCTGGCTTGGTGATTTCAAACAAGACTGTGCCAGACTCCATGTCCCGGATTTTGAACCTGGTGAAGTCTATCTTGTAAACATTTTCCTCTGGAGTGCACAAGTAATCTGCAGAGGGAAGCAAATTCAAATGAAGGCTGCCCTGAAACAGCAGGGATTTCTGGTTGCTCTCTGGAGGCCACACCAGCAGTGAGAGCAGCACAAATGCATCTCCACTACTGCCTGTTTTAATTCAAAACTGAGATCTCTASTTCTGGAGGCTCACACTGCCCTGCTCAGACAGGACAGGCAGAGGAATTCTCTCCCCCAACACCCAGAGGTCATCACCTCTTCCCAACACCGTGCCAGCAACTTTGGCATCCATTTCCTCCCGGGRTGTTGAGACCAGTCAGCACCTCCATCCAATCCCAGCCTTTCCAGGGTAAGAGGCTTTGCCTGTTTTAAAAACTGCCCAGAGGCAGAATGCAAAGGGCTAAGCAGCTTTGGGAGCACTAAGCCAACTGCAYTTAACTGGAACAGGAGGGTCCTGCCCTGCGCCACCTCCCTGCTYCAACCCTCTGCAGACAAAGGGTGGCCTCTTCCCTCCCCTCATGCTCATCCTCAGCACTAAAAATGAGGTTGAAGCCTTTCCCTGTTTTAGGAAAACAGGRAGCAGAGCCCTTCCCTGCTTTGAGTACCCTTTGAGGGAAAATCATGGAATCACAGAATCATCAAGGCCAGGAAAGCCCTTTAAGATCATCAAGATGAACTATTAGCCCAGCACTGCTGTGTTCATCACTAAACCATGTCCCGAGTGCCACATTCCCAGGCCTTTTGAACATTTCCAGAGATGAGGATTCCACTACTAAAAACCCCATGGTTTTGGCCTTCAGCCTTTTTGAGCCCCGAGCCAGCTCCTGGCACAGGAATCAGAGTCCTCTCTGGGGAAGGAGCACATACAKCACAGCTCGAAAGAAGCTCCACGAATTTTATCCTGGACAAATCTAAAGAAAAGCTTTATRCAGACAAGTCAGGTCACCTTTCAAACAACAGCACATCTGCTCCATGTAGGAGACTGGTTTTGGAGGTTCCAAGGTGAAAATAACACRTTAACATTCTAATTTGAAGCACTTTCTCGTCTCCTAATTCCTGCTGTTAATCTGTGCTAATCACTTATTTCTGTCTGCTTCCCTATTTTTGAAACTCCAAYGAATCCATCCACCCGAGGCTTAGCCATTGACTACACAAAAACAAGTTACCAAATGCTCAGAGCTCAGACCTGCCCATGACAACTGGACTTTAGCACAAGTCTGAGAAATCCAGGACCACTGAGAGACTTCTGAGCTCCTGGGCACGGACACCTGGCACCAGCACTTTCCTAGAAGCCTTTTATTCCTTCCAAATCTCCATAACTTGGAGAACTGTCCAAGCACACTSGGGAAAAGGAACAGAGGTGTTAAATGTTCTCCCTGGACAGTTTTCCTGCTCTCCAACAACCCCAGATGGTGAATGCTCAAAGGAATGCCAGAGAATTCGTGGATGCCCCATCCCTGGAAGTGCTCAAGGATAGGTTGGACAGGGCTTGGAGCAACCTGGTCTAGTTGGAGGCATCCCTGCATGGCAGAGGGGATGGAACTGGATGATCTTTAAGGTCCCTCTCAAGCCAAAACACTCTGAGATTCTACAATTCTATAAATGGGCTTTCAGAGAGAGGACAGGGTTTGAGGCATCCCTGGCATTTGGCAGGGATTTTCCCTTCCCTATCAACACAGCGCAAGGGAAAACTGACACCAGCACCCACGCTGTGAGGATGAGCAAGATAAAAGCTCAACCTTTTTACTCCTGCAAGAAAACATAAGCCTGTGTTTGGCCAAMTATCCCAAGAGCTGCACAAAATCTTCTTTAACAGCAGCCAAGAAGATGGGACAAGAATTTAAACCCAGCCCTTGCCTCAAGCCCTGATGTTTRGCATTCCTCAGGGAGGTGTCCTGCAATCACACCGTGATTTCAGGCTCTGACACATCAGCCACCCCAACTCCTCAGCCGTCCCACAACTTCCCTGCTCTGAGCACCAGCATGCAAAACACAAACTGATGGCAGCAGGAACAGCTTCCCACAGCCCAGCTTTGCCTCCCTGGGCCCATGGCCACTGGCTGTTCCCTGGGAAGGCTGTCAGGAACAGGCAGCAGTCRCCAGGGAGCCCGGGACACCTTCCCTGGAGCACGCAGGGCAAATCTGAAGCCGCGTTTGTCTGCGAGTTAATTATTAAGTGTTTCTACTCCTGCAGAATTCCTGCCCATCCAGCACCATGGCAACAGCTTTATCCCCCTCCTTGGCAGCAGCGTTGCTGCAGTAACAGTGTCCATGACTCATCTGGAGCAGGGCACAGCCAAGCAGAGCCTCCAAAGAGGAGTAAACCCCGGTACAATCCCCACCAGGCTCCTGCTCATTGATGCCTGCATCCCTACACTGCTATTTTCCAAGTCTTTTTGCCCTGATAAAATTTTAAACCCTTTTTTTTGTTGGTTTTTTTTTTTKTTTGTKTTTTTTTTTTTTTAATATTCATGCCAATATACAACTGGATGACATCCGGGAAGATCAGCTGCCAGAATACTCGAATCAAGTGGATATTTTTTCTCCTCTGGCAGTGCCCAGTCTCCTAGAAAGGGGAAAAAAAAAAAAAAACCCCAAAGGAATATATATTCCTCTCGGTCTGTATTACATTTGTTTCTGCTATTCCTGCTCAAAAATCAATCAAAGTAGCCACGTGCTGATTTTTTTTTTCCCCCACACGTAACAGGAGCCTGCGGCTACACTGGAAGGTCTTATTGGGAATGGGCTGCTTGCAATTGGCAGATCCTTCTGCTCAGCTGAGCACTGTCAGATTCGCTAATCTCATCCCATACACACTTATTTTTAAATTACTGTAGGGCCCAGTTGCCCACACTTCCGTGACTCACTTAAATGTATCATCTGCTTCCCTTATCCGAATTCACCGTCGCCACGATTCGGGGAAGGGAGGCAGCATCCGTGACTATTTTAGCTGGGAATGAGGCAGATCAAACCTCCATGGAGGGGATTGTTACAGAGAATGGTGGGTTGGTCTCTCAGRACGGAATATTTTCTTGCTTCTTCCCCTTCCCCTGAAGCAGGCTGTGCTGCTTCCCCSTTAATAAACTGAATAATCACAGTGYGTCCTTGAGCCTTCAGTACTCACCTGATTTAGGGATGAAGGGATGGACACATCAGCACTGCCATGGAAAACCCACCAGACTGGCTTTTATCCCAAAGTACCCACGTTTAGTAGTGCAAAAAAAAAGGTCACCAAAGACCTCCATCCCCAAACTCTTCTTGGAAAAAATCCACCGAGTTGAAYTCGATCTCAAAGCAAAGAGCAAACCCCTGCAACCTGCCCAAGCTTGGTGTTAGCAGCCACTTCCCCCTCACCAATCCCCATTCCTGGTGGTGCCTCTCCAGTCTCTTCCCCAGAACCTCTGGATCATGCCCAAACATCAACAACTCCCCACTCCTCAGAACTACCACCGTTTTGAAGAGTTTGGGTCACAACCAACTCTGTGATGGTCTGAGGAAGCAGCAGAGGTGACTGGGTTCCTGAGCCTGGCTCAATTAATTCCTTCAGGAATTCTCCTATTCCCTTTGCAGCAAAAAGTGATTCCAGAGCGACCCCAAACAGTTCAGCGGTCTCAGAATCAGCAGGTGCTCCTTCCCCTGTTACAGTTCTGAGGTGGTTCCTCCACTGTCTAWAACAGGGAAAAACCAGTTCTCACCCAGAAAACCTTCCTCCCCTCCCAAATCCAGCCAAGATGACAAAATAAACCAGCAGAAGAGCCTGGGCAATGCCAGCAGGCCCTGCCTGTGAGCACTGGCACGTCCTGACCCAGGTGCACATTTCCAGGTGTGTATTTTAGCAGCTGGTGTTACAGAGGAGCACAAAAGGTGAGGAATAATGCACTGCTAAATAATACAGGGAAGCAAACAAARGCACTTTCTCCTCTGGACCTCTCTCTGTTATTTTAGTGGATGAGATCAGGTCAAATTTTTATTTTAGTGGATCAGACAGAGTCAAATTTGATCCCATATTCCCAAATTTCCTTTGTGCTCACCCCACCCCAGCAAATTTTTTTTTTTGAAAAAAAAAATTTGAGGAGCTCACGGGCAAGAGGATTCACATTCTTTGTTGTGCTCCTCTCAAGATCCCTTCCCCGTCCCTGCAATCAGGAGGAAGCACGTGCCCCCTCTCACAGACACCAGGGATATTTCTGTGCTCATCAGAGTCTAATCTCAGATGGGGCAGCTCCTATTTTAAGGCCTCAAGAGCCCGCAAAGGAAAGCAGAGTGCAGCCAGGGTAAAAAAGAACCAAAAAGCCTGGAAATAGGTGTAAAGCAGGAGGATGCTGCACCAGAGACAGATGAAACAGCAGGGACTTGTAGCAGGAATTTCTCTCCCCAGCATAGACAACAACAGCAATTTAAGGGATGGATGAGAAGGCTTCTGTAGTTATGCAGCCCTATTTCCTAACATGCATTAACCAACAAGGTCAGGAGCTATTTTGAAGCCAACTCCCAAGACATAAGCCAGGTGTAAAGCCAAGACAACTGCAGAGGAATAGCCAGGAGCTGGGGATTAGGAGATTATCAGATTGAGGAGTCTCAGGAGGAAGCAAAAATAGCCCAGACCCCGCAAAGAGGCCGAGCAGTGACGCATAACAGGGAGCAGGACCCGAGGGGAAGGCAGGGCAGGTTTCAGGTGATATCAATACACCTGCCCAGACAGCCCAGGCTCAGTTAAAGAACAAAATAAACCATTTCCCTGCYCTCTGCCTCAGCAGTTCCAGGRCTGTGGAACCAAGGCAGCCAGGAGACAGGAGCTGCTCTGTGGGGTTGGATAACCAAAAAAACCAGGGGGTAGCACAGGGAGGGAAGCAACCACCCTCTGTCCCAGCTCTGGAATTAGGCTGCTGCAATGCCCCACAGGGAAAATGCCACACCAGAAGGATCCCACGGGGTTTTTTTCCACAGCAGCACATTTACTGTCAAGGAAGCAGAGGGATTTAGGCCAGGAGGCTCCAGGCTGGGGGCCTTCCCAAGGTCCCCAGAGCCCCTCAGCTGCCAAGTCCTACTGCACAGCTCTGATTTTTGTGGCAGCCTGCTCATCCCTTTTTTTTTCTCTCTTTTTTTTTTTTTTTAATTTTAGCTAGAGCTTTCCAGACTTCACCCTCTCACAACAAATTTGATCACAGCCCTGCAGCCTGTGGATGGAGCTGCTCTTCCCCCATTTCCAAAGCATCCAAACGCTTTCTCCTGCCCCCTTTCCACACTGATCACACTCGAAGTCCAAACCCAAAAATTAACAAATATTAATAATATTAACCAAACTGGCTATTTGGGTCTCAGCACATCCAAAGCCAGCTACACATCCCAGCCCTGGACCAGGCAGAACAGGGATTCATCAACCTCCTCAGAGCTCCTAATGAAATGCAGTCTCCAGTTAATTGGGGAGGGGAATCATGGTCCAGGAGAGGCTTTGAAGATGGATTCGTGCACATCTGCATCACATTCCTGTTGGTGCCTCCCTGCCTCCTTGCCTTATCCAAACCCCATGGATTTAGAAATGGATTGGATCCCGGCTGGTTTAGCTTTACAGGACTTGTACTGCAGAGGGCAGGGAAATGGTTTATTTGGGTTTTTTTTTTATATTGACTATGGGAAGCTGGTATGAAAGTCCCTCARAAAGAGTCTGCCCGGCCTAACCCACTGAGGCAACCCTGTGCCAAGCTGGCCTTTAGCTAAAGCTGCCTAGAGAAGTCTCAGAGAAATCCCAAGTGACAGCTCAAGGAAGAGATTACTTTCAGAAATGATTATGCGTGTGGGTTCCTTATTTTTAGGGTTTGTTTTGAAACCGCTTCCAAGCATGTAATCAATGATATAACTCCTCGGTTCGCTAAAAGAAGATCGGTTCTAAAATAACACTTACAATGTAAGATTTGATCTGGTATCACGGGCAAAGAGTGCAGGTGAGAAGCAGGGCAGCCTCAGAGCTGTCTTTTGTTACGTATCTGCCTCCTCTGATCCTCCRGCTGCTTCAGTAATTAATTGCAACTTGAACTGAGCTCTGCCCCGCTCCTTTGCTAATCTTAAATTAACCACGTCATGAGGTTTTTCCGCTTTTTCCCAACCGCGGTTGTGCGAGCGACTGACAAATCTCGCTAATTGCAAAGGAAACGCTTCCCTCGCCTTACACCTGATCCAGCTGGAGCAGCGCCAGAGGCAGCCCGGCCAAAGGGCACAGAAATCCCAGGGCAGCACCCCAGATCCGTCAGGCTGGACCCCAGCGTGTCCGGGAAGCTCTGGGTGCGGAGCTGCCGGGGAATTTGGGGCTGGAAGGAGGCAGAACTCGCCCTGCACCAGTGCCCGGTTAAGCTCATTAGAAGAACATTAGAGCAGAGCCCAGCTGGCTCCCGGGCTGCCCGCAGAGCCACATCCTGCACCGCCACCCTGCCAGCCCAAAACCTCAGCCTGGGCCAGCTGCACCCACTGGGAGTGCAAAACCCAGCTGGAAAGGTCATCAGGGAGGAATTCTTCCCTGCCAGGGCGGGGAGGARCCGTCACAGGTTGGATGGAGAAGCTGCGGCTGCCACATCCCTGGAAGTGTCCGAGGAAAAACTGGATGAGGCTTGGAACAGCCTGGTCCCTGTTCTTGGTGAGGGAGCTGGAACAAGGTGGTTTTTAAAGTCCCCTCCAAACCAAACCATTCTGTGCTACAGTCACTATTCCACCTCTCCCTGCACAAGCTKGAAGGCTGTTCCAGGCTACTCCTGGTGTGAGAATTCCTCAAACGCACCTTCCTGTGGTGCCAGGCCCTGCTGGGCTTTGGCTGATGAGGAAATGTCAAAACSTGGGCAGGACAGCTTCACGCAGTCCCCCGACAGTGCGAGCTGCCGTGCCACTGGCCCACGAGTTTGGATAAAGATGGATTATCCTCTCTCTGGAACAACAAAGGGCACCCAGGGSACCAGGACATTTCTGTCCCAGCTCCTTCAACTCGGAACTGTTCAAGGCAGAATTGCTGCAACAGGGTGTGGTGTCTGCCCCGACACCCAGAACGTCCAAAAGGTCAGGGCAGCTGTGAACTTCCTTCCCACAGCCTGGTCCCTTCCTCSTCCCCTGCCTGAAGCAGAAGAGTGCAACAGTTTCATGTTGATATTTCTGGCCAGATGTTTTTAAGGGTGTAGAAATGAGCAAAAGCCACAGAACGCCCCAAATAATCATGAGGTGTTAAAGAGCTGAAAAATAGTCTTTGCTGTCTTTTGTTACACCCACCAAGGGGGAAACTGAGCCCAAGGAGGGGAGCTGCAAATGCTCCTGGGTGATCAGATACAACGTGGATGTGCTGTTTACCTGCATCCCCAAACTCACTCCCAGGATTTCAGGCGTGGAGAGCATTTCCTGGCTCCCACACATCCAGCGGGACAGGAAGCACTTCCCGTGGACAGCCTGGGACACCATCACAGTGCCTGGCTCTGTTTGGTGTGACCCATCTGCACCCCTGCTAGCAGCAGGTGTCATGGCAGGAGGGGAACACAACATTTTCATGCATTTCACACCTTTTCCTGTGGTCCAGAGCATTCTGACCTGAGGTTGGAAGGGGCAGACGACCCCCAGCTCTACTCTGAGCTTGGCTCCAAAGCCGGGGTGACCAGCTTAGCCTTCCCTGCTCCCTGKGAACGCAGGAGCTTACCCAGAGCAGGCACCATCCATCCACACCAATGCCACACGAGGTGACAGCGAGGGTATGGGGTGGCCCTGTCCCCTCCAGACAGCTCTGACAGGGCAGGGACACGCAGGCTGCCATGAAGGGAGCACACAGGGCTGTGGCTGGGGTTCACCTTCCAGCTGAGGATGCTGGCAGGATGCTCCAGTGCCTGCTGGGGTCCTGGGCATCAGCAGAGAGCTCCGAGAAGGGGACCCCAGGGTCCCCAGCAGCAGCAGCAGCACCTYTCAGAGGAGCCCCCGTAAGCCCTTCCTGGGGGCTGACACCAATCCCCTCCTCCCAGCAGCCTCCCAGGGCACCCAGAGCCGCATCCTTCCTCCCCAGGGTTTGTCACAGCCCAGCCAGGGACACCGAGCTGCCTTCGAGGCTCAGCCCCAGGCCAGCCCCAGGCCAGCCCCTTCTTCCCCTGCCAGCACACAGACACAACCCAAAGGTCCCAAGACATGGGAAAAGGATTTTTTTGGGACAGCAGAGCAGATTGTCCCCATGCATCACTGAGGCCAGKCTGGCCTGAGGCACTCCCATCACCATGGAACRGTTTGGGGTGGAAGGGACCTTAAAGCCCATCTGGTTCCAACCCCCTGACAGGGGCAYGGACACCTTCCACTGSCCCAGGGTGCTCCAAGCCCTGTCCARCCTCATCCTGAACACTTCCAGGGATGGGGCAGCCACAGCTCCTCTGGGCAACCTGTGCCAGGGCCCCACCAYRCTCCCAGGGARGAATTTCTCCCTAATATCCAATCTAAACCTGCYCTGTGTCAGGGTGAAGCCATTCYCCCTGTCCTCACYTTTCCCCAGCCCTGTGTRCTGTTCTCTCRAGCTCTTCTGCCGAGCAGGACAAACTCCCCAGCCCCACACTGCCACCCTTCAGCCCCACAGATGTTCTCAGGACCCAGGGTGCTATAGTGGGGAGGGTGAAACGGGAAGGAGAGGCTGCTRTGAAGCCCCCCCATGCTGTGGCCAGGGATCCAGCCTGTCCCTGTCCCTGGGCACAGGGTGGGGGGCTCCACTTGGGGCACAGACACAGGGAATGGTGGAATGGGGAGAGCAGTGAGGAGCATCCGACCTTTGAGTAGAGCTGGGGAGCTGMATCCCCAGCTCTGGGCATCCCCTGGAGGGAGGCCAGTCCCTGTCCCTTCGGTGGTACCCACACCCCGGGGTGCCACATCCCCAGATTCTGTCCCCTGCGCTGCTGCATCCCCACTCCTCGTCCCCCGGGAAGGGGGGACCGGCTCCTTTCTCCTTCTGGGTGATCCCCCCTGAAAAGCGGAACAGCGGAACAGCTCTCCTTTTTCCGCCGGGTTAGCCCCCTCGGAGAGATGAACCGGCTGCCCTTTTTTCGCCGGGGACGCGGTCCCCATCCTCCCCGGCCGCCGCGCTGCGCCCCCGGCACGCACCGCTGGTGACCCGCTGCAGCCCCAGCACGTCGTCGGGCCCGATGAGCGCCTTTCGGCCCAGCTCCTCCTCGGTCCTGGCCGCCGCCGCCCCGGCCCCGCCGCTCTTCTTCACCTTCATGGCCCCTCCGCCGCCGCCGCCACCGCCGGTGTGAGCGGCCCCGGCCCCGCTGCGCGCCGCCGCACCGGGAGGGGCATCGCCATCACCGCCCCCGGCCCGCCCCCGCCCGCACAGCACCGCCCGGCGCCGGGGAGAGGCGGAGGAACCAGGGCACGGCACGAAAGCGGCTCCCCCCGCCGCTCCCGGGGGCTTTGGGCAAAGCTTTTCTTGCTGGAGGAGATGGGGTTCCCTGCTTCTGCGAACCCCCCGCCATGGAGCGCGGGTGAGGTGGGGACAGAGCACGCACCTGTCCCCAAAACAGGGGACACCCGCCCAAAGGGAGCCCCAGACCGCCACACAATGGAAGAGCCAGACCCCGCTGAAGCGGGGCTGCCCCCGGGGGCTCTGCACCCATCGGCGGGATGGACTCCATTCACTGCCCCCCCCCCCGGGAACTGTTCCCCCTCCCCAGCAGTAATTTTGACTAAATACCCGAAAGAGCGGAGCCAGACTCCATAAAGCAATGGAGGGAACGCAGGAGAGCTGGGCCAGGGGAAAGCAGGGCAATAGGTACCCCCCAATGGCTAAAGGACGTTCACACAGCCCCACATCAGCCCCCCACACCACTGGGGGGTTCTTTATTTACACAGCAGCTTGTTCTGAACACAGCACCAGGCTGGGGGTGCTCACAGGCAGCCCCTCCCTCCCCTCTCTGCTTTTGTGGTGCAGGAGAGCTCAGCACCCAAATTGAGACCATTTCCCACCTCCCAAAGCAGCTTCTCTTCCAGGGATTCTGCCCTGAATCCCGGCCTTGGCACACCCAAGCCAAGCAGCCAGGACTGGCCCTGGGGTGCCTTCCTGGACCACGAGTCTGTGACAACACCACCCCACGAGGTGGAGACAGCTCCAGGACAGGTCAGTGTCGCTCAGTCCATCTTGGTGGGCTCCTTCTTACGCTGCCTGGTCTCCCGGACAATCTTGGCCAGGGACAGCAGAATGGGCACAGCCATGGGCAGGAAGAGCGGGATGTAGATGGCAAAYTTCTGATCATCGGGGAAGTAGAGGAGATGGAGGAGAGATGGGTCAAAGAAAGCCTTCTCTGAGGAGGTGACGGCCTCCTTGCTGGCCTGGAAAGCTGCGTGCAGGTGGCCCTGGGCCAGCTTGGCCACAGCGCTCTGGACTGCGGCCACTGCCCGGTACACCTGCGTGGGAACAACACCAAGGGTCAGTCCCTGGCCAGAGAGCACCACAGGGACACTCAGCCCCCGCTGCTCCCCACCTTAGGGAGCCCCAGCCCTACCTCAGAGGCAACGTCGTCCTTGATGACGATGTTCCCGATCTTGTCCAGCAGCTGGGCCAGYGAGGTCAGCGTGGTGGACACGGTGGCGATGTTCTCCACGGTGTGGGCCCAGAGCAGGTGGTCCAGCTCCCAGTCAGCCAGCCCCTCGTTGCCCGGCCTCTCCAGCAGGAACTCGGGGGGCAGCTCTTCCCGAGACAGCCCAAAGAGTAACCTGGGAGCAGAGGGGAGGGTCCCAGCCCACATCACAAGCCTGCATTCCCATGAGCTCCCTGCTCTTTTTCTTGCTCCATTTAGTCCCAATCCTGCCTAATTGCCTTCTGATGTGTGGCAGGACTCSTCCTACCTGAGGAGATGGGAGATGGGCCAGTAGCTAGCCCTGGCCACAGAGCAGTGAGGGACAGTTGCCAGCACCTCGAAGGCCACAAAAAGCCACCCTCAGCCACCCAGAGACCACAGAAGGAGGAGGGAACAAGCTGTTTGGGTACAGCCTATTGTGACCCCAGTGATATCCACAGAGGCCTGGRGATGGAAGGGAGCATCCTCACCGCAGCTGGGCCAGGAAAACCTCCATCACTCTTGCCATGTCCACGTCCACGTGCAAAGGGAGGGAAGCTTGGGGGGAGGCAGGGGCTTCAACGTTGTAAACCTGCAGAAGAATGTGTCAGACAGGCATAAGCAGGACCAGCAGAGTCACCAGCTGGGAATGGGGAGCCACCACCTGRTCCCAGCACCCCCATGGCACCGTACCATGATGCCACCCCAGCGGGGGCTGTGGAAGGCGTTGGTGCTCACTGGGGCTCCGTCCTTGTCCTGGATGTACAGGGGCGAGTGGGAGCGCTCTGGCACGTACAGCAGGAAGTTCAGCACRGGGTAGAGAGAGGCAGCACTGGATCCTGCAGTGCGACAGAGTTAAAGAATTGCCATGGCTAGCAGAGAGAGAGCAGCCCAGCTCCTCCTTCACAGTCAGCCTGGCTGCTCTCACATGGGGAAAAGGACACTGTCCACAGCTGTCCCCATCCCTCAGCACAGCCTGGTGCCATGAGACAGACCCCAGCGAGCCATGAGCACGGTGCTCACCCAGCCGGGCCTCCACGGGGTTGATGACATGTGGGAGGCTGTGAGCACTCAGCAGAAAGCTGGAGGACTCTTTGTCATAGCGCGGTGTCACTCCCAGGACAGCGTAGTACAGGATCTGCAGGCACACAGGGACACGCTGCTGGCACAGAAGCACATCCCAGGGAAGTCAGGGCTGGGCATTCCCATCTCTCCCASCCCTCACCTGTGAATCCACAGAAAAATTGGCCACCAAGCTCAGTTTGTCCAGGACAGGCTTCACGTAGCGGTTCACAGCGCCCTCGATGTCCCAGTCCACGGCGTGGGATTTGGGGTCGGGGTTCAGCAGGCTGAAGGTGATCTCGTACCCTGTGAGGGAGGACACGCAGCCTGTGAGGCATCGAGGCCGTGACACAGCTCCCAAGGGCAGCAGGGCCTGTCCCCTCCTCCCTGGGCCACCTCAGGGTGGGGTCACACCACCAGAGCAATCACAGCTCAAYCCTGCTCCACAGACACTGCTACAGGCAAAGGGCTGTGTTAGCCCAGAAGGCATCCAGGGGTGCTACAACAGAGCAGGAATGTGATTCCCTGCAGGGACAGCAGGCTTTCCCAGGGTCAGGAAACAGGGATGGAGGGCACATCCATACCCAGGCTGGATTTCAGGTACCGCCGTGCGTCAGGGCCGAGCTGGCCGTCGGGCACACGGTCCGAGAGGGCGGCGGCGATGGAGCTGGCCGTGAAGGACATCAGCTGTGTCACCTGACGGAGCCGAGCCTGCAGGGCAGCCAGGCTCCCCCCAGCCCTCAGCAGRGCGCTGCGGTGCTTCCCCACGTAGACATTGGTGCCCTGGGGATGGGGCAGGGGTGAGGGCTGGGAGCAGCACCCTGAGAAGGGCACAGTGCCACTTGTGACAGCCACCTGTGACACATGTCACCTCCCGGGGTGAAGCACACAAGAAACTGGCAGTACAGGGTGCTGCTTCCTACCTGAGGCAGCAGAGAGGWGGTTTCAGGGACCACATACATGGTCAGAGAGCCCAGCGTGGTGTCCTGCAGCGGGTGCAGAGCAGTGTCAGCCTCTGGGGAACACAGAGGCATTGGCAGGAATGGGAATTTCACTCCAAACCCCATCCCACCCTGAGACACAGCAAAGTGTGCTCTCTGCTCAGCCAGCCTCAGCCAGAGGAGCTCTCCAGCAGTTCCCTGCTCCAATACCTCGTGCAGTCACCGCAGCCAGTGCTGCCTCCTCCTGACCCGTGGCGCTGCGATAGAGCATCTCATAGCGGGATGTGACGCTGGTCCTCACTGCAGGGGCAGAAAATCKGAGTGAATCTGCTGATCCCAGGCCACTCACAGGACCCTGGTGCTCACAGGGACAATGGACAGCCACAGAGGGACACATGGCACAAGGTCCTTTGGGCACCTGGCATGTGGCATCACTGGTCCACAGTGGCAGTGAGACAACCCCACACCAGTCAGGCACATCCCACCCTCTGAGGGCTCCATTGTCCCCATCCCCAGGCTGGTCCCTTCCCTGCACTTGCTGTCCCCACCCTGCTCCCTACACTGCCAGCTCAGGGTAGGACGATGCCGGTGAACGGGAGCTCCAGGCTGCGGGGGAGAGAAGCCATGGGCAGGCTGGGASCCCCGGGAAAGGACGAGGCCACCCAGGAGGAGCAAATGGGATAGGGASAGTCTCTCACGGTTCACGGAAATCTCCATCTCCTGCACATCCTTGAAGGGCAGCGGCCTGGGCAGGTCCCGGGGCACGGATCCCGGGCCAAACACCACGGTGATGGGCACCACCAGCTGAACCTGCACAGARGCAGCGTCAGAACGGGGCCCCGAGTCCCCGGCGCCACCCCCGGGCCCGCCCGGCGCTCACCGGCTGGTGGCCGAGCCCCTCGATGTCCGTGTAGGGCAGGGCGGCGCGGTAGGTCTCGGTGGTTTTCCACCACAGCGGCAGCCCCAGCACCACGGCGATGGTCGCGAACGACAAGGCGGCGCGCCGGCCTCGCGCCCGCTCTGCGGGGACAGCGCTCAGCACCGGCCCGGCTCCCCGGGAACCGGGCTCGGGGGACCGGGGGACAACGAACGAGCAGCGGGCATCCGAGCCCGCCGGTACCTGCTTCATCCGCCGCCATCGCCGCCGCCGCCASCGCCACCATCTTCACTTCCTGGCCCAGCCGGGGGGGCGTGTCCTGCGCCCAGCCCAGCCAATCAGAGTTCGCAATGCCAAAGACAGCCAATAGAATGGGTGTGCGCCGCGCGGCAGGATAGATGGGCGGGCAAGAGAACCAATCAGAGTGCGCAGCGGCAACGGGGCGGGCGGGCTTTGGTTTCTACGAGTGCCGCGGAGGGACATGTGGCTTCGTCGCCGCGTCCGCGCGGCCGGCACCGGGGCGGAGCCGAGCACCGGGACCGGGAGGAGGGGCGGACACGAGACGGGGACGGGAGCTCCTCACCCGCCTCACGGCTCTTACGGAGAGCCCACCCACCCCGTCTGCCAAGCTCACAGAGCCTCACGATGTGTGTGGGAGGGCTGAGAACCAGCTCAGCTCATTGCATAAGCGAGCCCAGCACGCTGGCGGTGATGGCGGGAGCGCGCTGAGGGACGGACGGAGCTGCCGGGTGCCCCGCGGCGAGGAAAGAGGCGGCACGGCGCTGTCTCTACCATTTATTCGTTGTTAGGCTATTTG